TTAGAAATGCTTATTTGAATATTGTGATGGAAATTCTCAAAGGAGAAACTTTATAAATTGGTGAACAAAGTACAGTACACCAATAAACTGTTACATTGTATCATGGGAAGGCAGGGAAACAGAGATACTGAAGTGTACATCCCATCTTAATGCACTGTGGATAGACAAATGACTTTCATCTCCACTATTCTTGGTCTCCATTTTTTCCCACCAATTTAATTGTATTGAACCAGCATCCCATATCTGACTTTTCAAATATGGATATCCATGCTTTCCTGTGATTATCTATTTACATGGCAGCTGGACTGTTTAAGGCAGAGGAGAGACATCTATATGAACGTATCTACTCCTGATGGGCAAAATAGAGAGGCAGCAGGGGATCCCTCCCTATCTTGTTTCTTCTTAAAATTATAACTCAGGTGCTTCCCTGCATCACCCTATAAAAGTGATGGGGTTTCCACCATGTGTGGCAACTAAAAGTGTTTAAGGGATCTATTGTCCCGTATTGTGTGACATGTTTAATACAAACTTTGCCTCTCATATTAAATATATATTACAATACTGTGATTGGAACATGTTAAAGAGAACACTTAAGATTTGACTGAGGATAATATTCCTGAACATAATAGAACTAATATGTTCTATTAAACATGCCTGGAACTGCTTTGTAATCTTTACTAAGCATAATGTTATAAAAATCTGGCGCATGAGATACCCAGATTTCTTTACTATGTATTCTATTGTTCTGTAGCATGATAGCTGATTCCAGTATCAATGGACTTTCAGCATATTTTTTTATAATTTTTAAATTTAAATTAGAAACAAGCTTGCTTCACATGCCAATCCAGCTCTCTCTCCCTCCCTCCTCCCTTAGCCCTCCACCAGCTCCCCAGTCTCCCACCCAATCCCTACACGGTTCCCCATGGAGGATGAGGCCCTCCATGGGGGATACCCAGAGTCTGTCATTTCATCCAGGGCAGGGCCTAGGCCCCCGCCATGTGTCCAGGCTGAGACAGCATCACTCATTGTGGAAGTGGCTCCCAAAGTTCATTCATAAGCCATGGTAATTATTAATCTACTACCCAAAGCCCCAGAGATTGCCAAGGCCTCCTCACTGACAGTGTATTAATTTGTAATAGTTTATACAAAACCCATTCATTTCTGGCATTGCTAGCTATGCAGTCATCTTTGTAAATCTTATATTTTGTTCTCAGAAAAAATATCATTCCGTATTCTGATTATTTTAAAGCTATCTTCAGGTATTGGGGTGTTGACTATTCTACATTAGGTCCCTACCTCACTTTCTCATTCTTACTCATCATTAGTGAGGAGAGGACCCACTATCTATCTATAATCAGTAAACATGACTTTACCTGCTTACCTTCCAAAATAGTATTTGTATTTAATATTTGACAGGAATCTTTATCACTCATAAAAATGGCCTTTGGACTCCTCTTTAGATATTGTTTAACTTACGTGCTGTAGCTATAGACACTGCCTTGTTTGTGTTTATTTTCCTTTACTGTTACATATGTAACGTCCTTTATTGGTTCAAAGTTAGTTTGACTTCAAGGAACATAAATCTTATTTACAATGATGTAATCATACAAAGATCATTTTCTCATAAGAATTCACACTCACAAACACCCACCATACTTACCAATATGTCTACACTTTTATATTTTGTCCTGCTCATCTGATAGAAAATTCATTTTGGATCTCTTAAGTCTATTGCCTTTATTCAAACTTCAGAATCTATGCAGTTTGTAATGAAATAATTTTACTCAGTAACCCTTCAACATAATCTCATTTTTCTCTTCTGATAGCCCTTCACAGATCTGCCAATGCAGTGCTTGTCAGGTACTTTTCAAAGGGTCCTGCAATGGAACGTAAGCGTCCATCAGTTCTCCTTCCTTCACTCACCCGGCCATCTTCTTTGAGTTCCACATACTCTTCACAGCGCTGGCTCCCACTCTGTGGCTAGCTTCATCTCCCACCATTTTCTTCATGAAAGGAAGCTGCTGGTTGTTTACAAGCCATTAAGCTTGGAGCCTGGGGTAGGAGAGGCCACATTCTCATTTGCCTAATGATTGAAAATAGTGCTATAGTTTGTTCCTCCATAGGCCAGGTTATGGTACAATACCTCCATTAACATCAGAGGAACTGAAGAGGTCTCCTCTTGAAATATAATTTTTCAGTCTCAAGTGATGTTACTAGTGGCTTCCTCTCTGTTGGCAGGGGGTTAATACAGGCTCTGGATGAATGCATCAAACAGTGTAGGAAATGCCCATCTCACTTGCTATGCTAATGTACTATTAACATTTGAAACACATAAAGATATACTAATCCTATTGTCTACTTACTGCAGAAACAATAACTCAGCATCATTTTGTTTAAAATACAGAGTTGAGGCACATTGTTACCACCATTTAAAAGGAAAATATTGAGGCTTGGGAGATGGCTCCACGCTTAGAGATCATCCGATTGACATAAATGCCCATGTACATGGAGACTACACCACTCCTTTAATTCTAGCAATGAGCAAGATTAGCCAGAGCCAAGACCCCTGGCTTTGGTTAAGAAACTGTACAAAGGAAGCTACTTTTTCAGTGCTATTAATGACTGCAGACTCACAGTTGAGAAAGGGACACATAAAAGACTTCTGTGACAACCCTCCCCTCCCCCCCCAAAATGCAACAGTCTAAAAGGAAGCCATCAAAGTGAATTCTTAAAAATTGTGATATTGATGCTAAAGTGTAGCTCCACACAACTGATGGATTCTGGCTGGGGTGCAGGAGGGGAAGTATTGAGTTTTCTTTAAGGGTCTGGCCACTGGGAGTTTGACCATGTTCCAATGAGTATATGGACAACACAAATTGGACTGCGTGTGTGTGTGTGTGTGTGTGTGTGTGTGTGTGTGTGTGTGTGCTTCCTCTTATTGGGGGTAGGGGATGAGATCACAAGGATGGGGGTTATAGACCAGGAAGACTGGGAGAAGAGTGTGATCTGGTTTCATTATGTGGAATTCCCAAATAGTTAATAAAAATGTTATACTGGGGGAAAAAAAAGAAATTGTGCCTACCATTAATAAGGTGAAAGAACTACGGAGAATAATTTCCAATATGAACCTTGACCTTCCAAATGTTCTAACCATGCACAGTCTTCCACACATATTTTGTATGTGCTCATGCACACACACACACAAACACACACACACACGTGCACACACACACCAAAATGAATAAAGGAAAAAAATTACATAAATCCTTCTAACTTGTACATTTGCTTTGTTGTTTGAAAGGATATTTTTATTGTTAATTCTGCCAATGTATACTCTTTGGAAGAAAAATATCTTGTCTAAGTTGTTTGTAAATTCTACATTACAAACTTTCCATGATAACAGACTGAGAGATGTCTCAGTGGTCATGAAGACAGGCTTTTCTTCCAGAGGACATGAGTTTGATTCCCTTCACGCACATGGTGGCCCACAACAATCTCTGCTATCTCTAGTCTCAGGAGATTTAACAGTTTGTACTGGCCTACATGTATACTACACACACATGATGCACAGACATACATTCAATCAAAACACCAATATACATAAAACATAACAAGGTAGAAATAAGTAAATAAGCAGAGCTTCCAAGATAAAGTTCTGACTTTTTATAGCTGTTTGAATTTTGGAATTGCAGAATATAAATACTAGGATATATATATATTTGTGTATATGTGCGTACATGCATGCGAGTGCACGAATGCTAGTGCAAGCACGTGCTCATCAATATCTACTGTCTGCTTCTCGGTGAAGAGGTAACATTTCCAGCCTTCTAAATGTCAGCCATCATTGACTTACTTGAAAGAAACGTTCCCTTCAGTTGTACAATTTTTATAAATATTGTTCTCAATGTAGTCAATAAAAATGTTTGTTTATATATTATTTTAAGTGATTTAATTTCAACCAGGCTTTCTGTTAAATGTGCTTCTATCTATGTACCATTATATTCACAATTCTGTATTAGAAGAGTTAAGTCTTATGTAGATAACCACAGCTATATGACGAGGTTCTCTTTGTCACCACCCAAACCCCCACCAAAACTCTTTTCTTTCATGACCTACTTCACTTTCTACTTCAATAAGTAGAAAACTTGGATTTGAGCTATGATTCACAGACCTGTATTCATAAACATAAGAGGTACATTGTCTATTGGACAGCAATTACCTCAAAAGACAGAGACTACACTGGGGTGTAATTGTTGGGGAGTGGGGATGGTAAACTATATTTTGTCTCATATATTCTTTTGTTGATGAGGCACTTCTAATTAGGAATGCATTTTATCTTATATAGAAAAGTGCTACAACATAATTCAAAATGTAGGCTTAAAAACTGAAACATTAAAAGACAATACTGAAGAAAATTATGTAGAGTAGTAAATAATTGACAAAGTACAAACAGTGTCTGTATTTTTAAAATGTTAGACAACTTTCAATACATGAATTAAAAATATTGATAAAGGAATTCGAGTGAAAAATGGTGGAGAATATTTCTGAAAGTGTAGTGTTTTCCTGGAATGCTACTGATGATTCCATCATGAATATTTATTACTTTTAAAATATTTTTCATCAGTTTTATCTTTTACTTGTCCCACTCTGAAGAATGATAATAGAATAATCATTTTAAACTCACTTTGTTTTATGTTTTTAATGGTTTTACCTACTTGGACTGAAGAATTCACTGGAATTCAACTTCATATCTTTTCCCTGAAGTCATAGAGTCTTATACAGAAATAATATTTATACTTCTGTTCAAAAATGTCTTTCCATTAAATTATATTAGTTTGACAAGTCTTTATCTGATACAGGTGACAGGCACAACTAAGTCTATGTATGCTATGAACAAACTACATATCTTTTGAATTTTTCAATTTTTTTTTCACAAATCATGCAAGCCTCATTTAATTTTACCACTTTGTGTCTTTTTCCTTTTTTTTTACCTCCCCAAGAACGACCCACGTTTCTCAGGAGGCCAATTAACCAGGTGGTGCTAGAAGAAGAGGCAGTAGAATTCCGTTGTCAGGTCCAGGGAGATCCACAGCCAACTGTGCGCTGGAAAAAGGATGATGCAGACTTGCCAAGAGGAAGGTAGGTCTATCACCTGGAAGGATGTTTGGATCACCAACATTCATGGTTCCATTACGGCAAACCCTTTATATCTTGGAGAGCTTTCAGACTTGTGAGTTTTATGTTGGGGGGTCATGCCTCCTGTGTGCATACCACAGTCTTGTAGACTTAGGATGTTACTCATTCGATGGAAATCCACATCAATGTCTGATGTACCTATCATACCCAAATAACACACATTCCTGAGGTGTTTATCTTTCTAGGGGCTGATTGTATGTTTGCTAAGGCTGCTTAGATTCATGGCCACATGGGCACAATTTTCCCTCATTGTGTGCCCTGCTTTTATGATATTTATCCTGCAATGCCTTCCTTGGATGACCAGAGTATCTGTAACAAAAGGCTGCTGGTATAGCTGACTCTAGGGACTTGTGTAAAACAGAGTATCAAGCTGAGGCTACTGAAGCAGATGACTGCCCAGGAAGGTTGTCCTTGGGTGTTCAAGGCACTTAATCGGGGATAGGTCCTTCATGACCTCACTCGTCTTTGACCAATCCCAGTCTCTCCACTATGCTGTTTACAAAATACTCCAAATTGCTTTTTATCATTTATGCAAATAATTTCATTGCTTCTCTTTTCTAATTTTTTTTTCTGTTAAAGATCTTTCCAAGCAATGTGCTACATCAAGCCTTCATCCCAGTGATAGATAGAAATAAAATAAACAAACAAATACCCTTATTTTATATCTGTTATCAAATAGGCCTTTCTCCTTTTCTCTTCTTATAAAATGGCAGCTCTGTTTCCTGCCTTCTGCTTACCCACTGACATGATAACCTGCACACGGTATGCATAAAATTGCAGTCTGTAGGTTTTCATGGGTTTCCTTCTAGAAGTACTTGATTTCACTCAGCAGCTTCAGGTTGAACATGCTTTCACAGAAGCTGCATGTTTTTATACATATTCTCTGCCACTGAAAAAGCTGCTGTTTTGCACATTTACTTTAAAATCTCAATTTTGAATCGCATAGGGCTATGAGAATGTACCCTCTTTCTAAATTCATTTTCTCAACCACATTGGGTTTAAATAGTCCAGGCACTTAAAGAGTATCAAGAGCCTCTTGGTATTTAAATAGAATTGAGAGCCTCTTTGCAATCTATGGTTATTGTAAATCTCAATTCTGTTAGTTATTTAACTAACTGGCTAAATAAATCAAATAACTAAATAACACAGGAAATCACCTTTTTGTTTTGTTTTTGTCACTTTGCTATCGGATATCTGCGTATAAATAAATGTCCCTATCAGAAGAGTTTTTATAACAAATTGAGGCCTCATGCTCGTTCATCAGAGAATCAAGTTAACTTCCAGAGGATTGGATGAAGAAAGAACTTGCATTGAAAAAGCAAGAAACTGAGCACCCTTTAAGATTGCAAGGGGGAAAGCTGGGTATGGTAACAAATGCACACTTGTTGTATAATCGTAGATGTAGAGATGTGGAAATAAGTACACTTCTTGGGCCTCCTGGTCAGCCAACCAGTCTGCACTGCAGTGTGAGCTCCAAGTCACTGAAATGTCTGTCCAAAAAGAAAAACAAAAGTTAGAAAGAAATTCAGAGTAAGTTAGCCAGCACCTGAGGATTAGAGTAAAGGTTTTCCTATTGACCTTGTGGGCACACATTTAGTTGTGGGTACCCAAAATACCCTGCACTGAAAACTGCCCCCCACACACACAGAAAGAAGAGAGAGGGGGTTACATAATTTGAGTGTGGGTATCCACATTAACATGTGTAGTAAAATTTTCATACAAATAGAAACCAAATTTCAAAACATTTTTAAATGTTAACAGAAGTTAAAAAAATTTAATATAGATAATGATTAGTTTTAAATTGCCACGACTGACAATGGGTGTGGTAGTGCACACTTTTTTGTTGTTGTTTTGTTTTGTTTTGTTAGACAGGGTTTCTCTGTGTAGCTTTGTAGACTAGGCTGGCCTCAAACTTACAGAGATCCACCTGGCCCTGTCTCCCACGTGCTGGGATTAAGGCATGCACCACCACTGTCTGCTAATAAAACTGTTAAAGTGGGTTTTCATGTATATCTTGTGGTCTGTTCTCTTGCACAGTAAATAGCTCCTTGTCTTAAAAAGCAAACAAAACAAAACAAAATTGCTGAGACTAAATATTCTGTAATTTTAAAAATTCAGCTTTAATTTGGTGATATTCTGATTTTGAAAAATAATAAAATTTATACGGGGTTGCTTGTGCATCTTGAACCCACTCTCACTGATGTCTAATATCTATGAAATATTTGACACACCTGATGGAAAATGCTGAAATAATTAAATACAGGCTAACCATTTTTTTTAGATTTAATCCAGTTTTATTATTGTCTCATTCTGCTCAAGAGGCCAACCCAAGATATGTATTTAGTTGGAAATGATAGATTTTTAGGTTTAGTTGAATGTGTTCCATTTGGAGAGGGTCCCAGGAATGAGTTGAAAGAAAACGATTTTGTAGGGCCAGAAAGATGGCTTGGTGGCTGCTCTTCCAGAAGGCCTCAGTTTAGTCATCCACATTGGATGAGAAGTAACTACAACTCCAGCTTCAAGGGATCTGAAAACTAATTCTGTCTTCCACAGATGACAATTACACACACACACACACAAATGAAGACTGCTTTTTAAAATTCACTAGGTAGACAAGGCCAGCCTCAAGTTGTAACCTTCCTGCCTTTGCCTTTCCAGGGCAGGGATTACAAATCTGCATCAACATACCTGACTACTCTCTTTTATTTTAAAGACAAGATTTTTACACAAAGAATATGCAAAGAAGGAAAAAAGGAGAAGGTCCTTCAGAGTATGTCATAGTTTCAATTTCTCATAATGTATTTTTGGTTGTGTAATTTATATAGACACAACAATTTATTGAACGTTCTCAGTGCTCATCACCAGTTTCAAAAGTAGTTCTTTAAAGTCGAGTGCAAGTGGTTGTTTCTGCCTTCTTTGAATTTAGGTTAATGAGACAAGGCAGTATGGACAACCATTTACATACTGAATACATCAAAGCCATATAGCTGAGTTAGAACTCTCTCTTCTCAGGGCTGCACCCCTGTATGTCAGATGACCACAGACCCTTGCGATTATTAGTATTCTTTGATGATCAAATGCTTTAATATATGTTTTCACAAGTATTTTATGTGGTAGAAGTTGCTAGACATTGTAATAGAGAGGGTGGTAAACTATTCTGTGTCACCTAACACTTTAAGATAGAGATATTATCAAAGACAGTACACCAAAAATTCATGTGCCACAAACTATATTATAAGTCAACAAAGGAGCAAATATTAAATGCCTATGTACAATGAAATAAGAAAAAACTGACTAGCATTTACTGCAATGTTCTATTCAATTAACAGTGGGAAGGAGAATTCTAAGAGCTCCTTAAAATTTGGGTAAAAGGAAGGGAGATTATCTAATTATGATCTCATCTCTTAACATTAAAGTATAGTCTGGGTTTCAAGTTTTATCAAAATAATGTAAATTGAGCATTCAGTATATTTCATCATTCATATGATTTTTTTACTAAGAGGCTAATAGTTAACTCCCCAAATTTTCTTCCATTTTTATTTATTTTGTTTCCTAAACTAACTCTAACGTGACAGTTACTTCTTCAGTCAGGATCTATAGTAGAATAGAGTGTTCATAATTGCTTTTCTGTGGGGAAAAAAGAAAAATAAAATATGCCATTTACATTCTTATGTATGGCTGCCACTTCTAAACGCAGTTGATGGCTTCCATATAGTGTAGGTAATTCATGAATATTTCATAAAAGAGAAAAGGGCCTACAGAATAAGCATTTTACGAAATATAGTGCACAATTCTATCAATTTTCCTCAGTCCACTGACAAGTTCCTTTTCTGAAGTCTATTTTTTTCTGAAGTCTTTTTAAGAGAGACTTTGCAGCGTTCTCAGTCGCATGGAATGTGAGACTCACAGAAAGATATGATTCCTTCAGGAGAGAACCTGAATAGAGCCACTTATAACTGCCTTTTTGTGCAATTTTGAGCAAAGTGGCTCTTCACAGTTAGCCCTGGAAAATGTCCCCTGTACTAATTGTCTGGAAGCTCTATTGTTTAGACTGTGTGCTGCTTGAATGCAGGGGATGGTGAACAGGTGCTCAGCTACCCTGCTATGGAGATCTGCTGCATCGTGTTCACTGTGATCCTCAAGGGCATGCAGTGATTTGTGCTCTGATAAATACCCACTTTGATTAGACTGGCTAGTAGAGGTTGGCCAATTAAAACCATTTTAGAAAAAGATAAGGAATACTAAAAACATGGGAAAAACAATGTATATCTGTACCTGTGAACTCGGTAAACAAGGAAAAATGTAAATCAGTTGTCTTTGATGTTAAGTAAGTATTACCAACTTCTTTCTGGAAAAAGAGACTTGCAAACTGCAAGGGGAAATTATTATGGAGTATTATTTTGTGTCAATGCCAACATCTTAATAAGCATGCAGTCTGTTGTCCAGGTTGTGACTTTGGAGGCCTTGTTCTGACTCTGTTCGATTGTGTGTGTCTTTGCTTCTCTCTGTCTTCTGACAAGGATGTCTGACAGATTTCTTTACCATAAAGAAGGATTATGACCTGGGAGAATCTATTTAACCCATGCGTTTTGCATGCTGAAGACAAAGAACAGGAGTGCTATGTGGTTATTGGTTTACCTTCTGCTTTGGCAGGTTCTAACTGAGAGATTATGAAATGATGCTCTTTCAAAGCACTGTAAGCACTGTGCAATGGTTAAACAGACAGCGCTATTAGTACCATTTCCTGAGTTCAAGCGTAGAGGATTAATGATGAAAAATAAGGAAGATTCAGTCTCTCTTAATTTCATGTTCTTTTTCACCTGGCTAAACAATAACTATAGGAACATTAAGTACTGCTTATTTCACAGATACCACCCTGGCTTCGAATTAATATAGACTCATTGGTAAATATCAGCCAGTTTGCCAGGCCTAGAAATCACTAC